TAAAAAAAAAAAAAAAAAAAAAAGGAAAAAAGCCCAACACAACTCCTCCCAGACCCAAAGAAACCCCTAAACTAACAAACAAAAAAACTGCACATGCATTTGGCCTTGCTTTTAGTGTGCAGGTACTTCTTATCCTTGTAAAGGAGCAACATCTCCTATTGTGGGAATCCTCACATCTATTTCCAGTAATATCTAATCTGTTATTTAATAAGGGTGATGTTTAAACTTGAGATAGTCACAGTGTGTTCATTAAATGTTGGGGGGGTTAGGTTTATACTCAGATTTTATTTTACTTTGAGCAATCAGTTAAGTCAAGGTAGTTAGAACAACATAAAAATAAAGGCTTTTACACTCTGCATTGCAGTGCTTGCTCTAGGCTTCTCTGAGAAAGGCTTTAGAACCTATTTTTATTACCTCTGCAACTAGAAGGGTGTACTGGACAGCGCCAGTCATGATCTCCAGCATATTTGCATTGCAAAGAAAGTGGCTGCCCAAGATGCTTCCTCTAACAGTTGAGTAAATAACACAGGTCATGTTATCTTAAGAGCCAAAGAGACCAGAGATTATACTTGTTTTGCTAGATATCTTATATGGGGATTAATCAACCTAATGGAATTTAGTATGCATTTTTAGATTCTTCCAAAAAAACCCCACATTTATTTTTGCTAAATGATGTGAATCTTTAGCTTGCTGGAGAGAGATGCCTCTGAAATTCCTCCTGTTGAAATGAAGCATAGCAAAAGCTGTAAGTGTGAATGCTCCTGTGTGCTACTGTTGCTTTATTCCTCCTTCCCCCATTGTTTCAAAACCATAATTTATAGAGGTTATTCTCTTCAATAGTCTATTAAGTAAACAACCTTAATCTAGAAGCATTGAGAGTTTTGCTGTGCTCTTCCCCACATCTTTGAAGATAGCTGTAGCAGTGAAGCAGGAAGAAGGCGTAATAGAATTTAATATTTGACATATTTTAAATAGAGAACATCTGCTTTTTCAAAATGAGATATCTCTGAGTAATTTTCCCCAAACTGTTATTCTCTTAGTACTATACTAAGTCCCTACATAACATTCACTGCACAAAAGATGTAGCAGATAATTCTTCATTTCAACTTCTATAATCTCTCTGGAAGCCAAATACCTATCATGCTAAAACAGTGAAAGTCACCTTGGGGAGAGACTACCACTTCTTGCCTGTCAGCTGGAATGCTGCCATGTATTTAAGGGGGTCTGTTTGTAAGTGGCTCAAGACAACTCGGTAAAGCAAATTAGATGTGTGTTTGCTTTTTTTTTTTTTTCTTTCTTCAGGCACCTTTTATTTTTATCTTTTGAAATGCTAAAAGATTGGAGAGATTTAGGTCACTTTTATTCATTGAAAATTATGTTTTATGATAACAAACTGTGAAATCGATCTGTATACTAAGTTGTTTAATTTTAATTCCATCCATTTGCCTTGTGCTTTCTAATACTCAGCAAGGCCAGATCTTTCCCAACAGTGATTCACTGTTGCTCCCACTTCCTAGAACCAGTGATGGGAAAGTGCTTGTGACTGACACTCTTCAGCTGTGGTGGTGCCAGGTACCCCAAGATGCAGTTCTTTGAGACTCTGCAGAAAATTCAAGGGAATTAGGTAATAAAGCAGGAATGGATTTCAGCTGAAGTTGAGGGCCTTTTCAAAATGTGAAATGTTAAGCTTGAAATTGAAGGGGAGAAATTTGAGCTGTTGTTTTGAAAACCCACGGGGCGAGTTCTTACACAGCATTTAATAGAAAGGTAATAGCTTCAGCCTGCTTGGCCTGATTAATTTTTACAGTCTGTAGTTCAAAAATAAGCTCTCAGAAATGTCAGAATGCTTTTATCCCCATGCATTCCTTCTCATCTGTTTTTTTGTTTTATGACATGGTTTCAACAAAATTTTTAACCCTGTCAGCTTCTATAATGTACTTTATCAAAAAAAAAATGGGCAAAACAAAACCAACCTCAATAACAAAATGGAAGGCAAAATTTTAGGTACTAATAAGGGGACTGCATTTGACTATGATAGCCCACTTCAACTGAAATCTCAGCACTGTCTTTACACCTCTTGTGTCTGACCACTGTGTGCTTTGAGGGATCTTGAACCATCTGCACATGAATCCAGTGAGTCCAGTCGTTGGAGATATTCATGTCTGCTCTCCGATCCTTAAAGAGAAATAACAGGATGAGGGACAGAAAAATACAGAAGCTGTTTTGAAGATGTGAATATTTTCTTTATGGTCTGATGACAAATGTATATTCAGAAATAGAAGTAGTGAAAGTATATTATCTGAAGCTTTATTCTGGTACTCTGAGATTGTAGCATTGAAACAATTAAACACCTTTGATTTGTAATCAGGCTACAAAAACCTCTTTAAACAGATTTTCTTTAGAGATGGAAAGTAAACAGAGGAAGTCAAATTGCGCTTCCTCAAAGTAACTTGTATCTCTAAATTTTTCATTAGAGCATATTTACAGTGGGTTGTTTATGCTAATAAATCTTTCTCAAGATTGGATGCATGTGGAGGATCAGGTGTGTGTCAGATAAGGCAGTCTGCTGGGACTCCCATTTGGAAGAGTTTCCTTTGCTCTGGCGAATGCATCAGTGTTAGGGAAACCACAGAAATGCTGCGAGAGAATTTTACTATGCTCTCAGCTGCTCAAGACTGCCTGTGTTCTTAGAAGAAATACAAATTATTTCCTTGATCTGGGTTTCCCAAAATAAAGATGATTGGTTTCTTAGGTTTGGTTTTTTTGCTTGGAAACCTAATAAATAGACTTTCTTCTCAGTGCTGGCTAATTGCTTCCCTTTATTGTCTGTTTATCACATGATAAATCTATCTCAGTGCCTACCCCCGACAAATGAGGCATGAGTGCAAATACTCCCTCTCTCTCAAAATATAAAGACTTGGTTTGATTGCCCCACGATAACACCTTTAGCATTACTGAATGCTTTTATGATATGAGAAATGTGTACTTTCATGCTTCAGTGAAGTATTACTTTTTATGTGTCTGACAAGGGGGTTTTGATTGTTCTGATTCCTTCCACTCGTTAATAGTGGAAGCATTCGGAAAATAATGTGGTGAGGCTGTGCTAACATTGTAAACTTGTTCTTACACGTGCTGGCTGATGCTGTGTGTCTTTTTGACTAGCCACAGCCATTGAAAACTTGTCTATGCTAGTCTCAAAGACAGGAAAATAAGGCAAATTGGGAAAAACATGGCAAATTTATCTCCTGCATTCTGTGGTCTTATTAAAAAAGAAAAAAGTGTCTGTAAATACTCTGTAGAGTACCAGAGCATGGCAGAAAAACTCATTAAGTGTGACTGATAGATCACAAATCGTGTAGGAGTTGATTTTCAAAGTGTTCTGAAGTTCTGCTTTGTCTTTTTTGTGTACACGTACTGAATATTGGTAAATGATTGTCCTTGCTGTAACATTTCTGAGTTGTGTTCCTTCGTTTTATTTGATGATAACAGTGATTCTCAAAACAAAATTAAAGCAGTCAAAAATGAGCAAGAGTCCAGCACTGGCAGTAGGAATGCAGGGTGAAGACATAGAGCAACAATACCTCCTCTGCAAAGCCTTTTTCCGAGGATCCTGCAGGTCAAAGCTTTGTTCCTTCTTTCCTGCTCTTGCTGCAGCCAGACATGGTGTATTAGCTATCTGGCACTACCTGGTCTCAACAACTTTATGAAAAATTACACGACAAACCATGCATGGCAACATATGTCTTGAAAAGCAAAACTCTGAGTTAGATTTAAAATATTGGGCCCTGTTGAATAGTGCTGAAAGAAGGGAGTTTGTGCGGTTATGTGAGTGCTGCTCTTGGCATCTAGAAAGCTGCCTCTTTGTTTCTTCCTGGACAAAAGTATCAATTTCTGATTCATCAAACTGTTGAAATGCTACCTTCCTTCCTGTTATTCCCATTACTCGTTCCCAAATTCGGGCACTTTGCGTCCAGTTTTGTCATGGCTTTGCAAAACTTGCATATTTCAGGCCTGAGAAATGTTGCTTTTTCTACTCTTAGATCACTTAGGAACATACTACTTTGAATAAAACTATTGTTTCAAACTTGGGTAGGAGAATACTGAGCTGTGTTGACTTGTGTATATCCACTTTACAAAGAGCTACTGTAAGCTATGCCAGCTCTTTTTCTTCTCTAAATACCATGATAGTAGTCATGCTGATAACTGAGTGGAGAGTAGACGTATTGTGCACAGGTAATAAACAAAAACTGCTGCTGGATTCTATGTCATGAAATAAATGTTCAGCTTCAAGTTTCCTTTAGTTATTAAAATGTGTGCTTAAAAAAGAACATTTGGAGGCATTGAAGCTATCATCTTTCCTGATGTTCACATGCTAAGGAAATCCCTTTGGGTTGAAGAGGAAAAATTCTTTCAGCTCTGGTCCAGATTAGATACTAAGGTGATGTTGGTACCTGGCTATGCTTTATTCAGCATCACGATGCTGTTTAATTATGCTGTTGGTGGAGAGCCATTTGTGCTGCATTCAGTCTTGCAGGATTTCATTACTTCATTAGCCTGAAGTATCATTTGCTCACAGATGTCTGTAGGAAAAGAAATGCTGTTTGGGTGGATTTTTTTTCTATTTGGGGTTTCTGTGTGAAAACATCTGGCTAAAGGACATGTCTGGAGTGCTTCAAGAGATATACTCTAATTATTTTGTTTTAGCAGCAGCTTGGCTACTCTGGTGCCAATCTAAATGTTTAAATCAGAGGCTATAGGTCAAAATATCTGTTTGGACTTCAGAGCCACTAAGTGGTCCAGGAATACGTGTTATAGTTACTGTTTGTCTTGATGTATGCATTCATTCTGTGGCTTACATGAAGTGTCATTTACTGATGCTTATTTAGCTCTCTAATACTTTGGAAACCCAAAATATCTCTTAACAATTTTGTTTTGTGATACTCCCCTCACTATGTGTGATACACTCTGGTGGATTGATTTTCCCTCCCATCTTTGTGGGAATACTGTTTTGTTGCTCATTTGGGTTTTTTTACAAAGGGCTGAGAGTCAGCATTTACTAGGGTTTAGGGTAACTTTTAATAGGTTGAAGTAACTTTATGAGAGTTAGGATGACCAAGGATAGATTGGCTTTTGCTGGACTTTGTATTCTCCCCTAAGGATCTTTTGCCAGTCACTCTGGAAGACAGGACAAAAGTTGATGGACCCCAGATACCAACCAAAACAGAAGGTCCTTTGCTAGTTTGTAAATAGTAGTGGCTTTTGTCCGGCACTGTCTTACACAGATTACCAGACCTTTCCCATGAAGACAGAACATTCTTGGAATGTCATGAGGAGTCTTTGTTCTTACCCTTTAGCAAGAAACCCTGAACCCAAGTGCCCTCTGGACACTACCATTTCCAGTTTTTGTCAGTTATGTAAAATAGTCTAATTCTATCTGTGTTGAAATGAAATGTGATTTATAGGAAGAAAAGACAAAGATGTATTTGTGTTCAGATTTTTCTTTAATGTTTTAAACAACCTTGTCTAGCCCTGTATGTTTAGGGTAGTTGCAGTTGCAAAAGCTGTGTGGCATCAGGGTTCATTATTGCAAACTTGTTAGTCACCAAAATAATGGAATGGCAGCAACTACCTGTTGGGCTTGTGTGGTGATGGTTGGATTTAAGCATATCTTAAAAGATAAAGTAGTTGTGCTGTCTAGAAGCTTGAAGCCCAAAACATTTCTGTTTGAGAACATGGTTTCCTGAATGATACTGCTAAATTTGAGCTCTATCAAGTTACACAGTGATATAAATTTGATCCAGATCAAGCAGGAGCATGTGGTGTTTATGATAATTGTGGGAGGACAGACTTCTCAGCATCGGAAAATCTGCTCTAGAAAAGGTGCTCCGGAAAATATTTTGGGTGAATTTGAACTGGTGTGATGACTTTGCATTGCTTCCACGCCCTGTCACATGGCTGCAGTGTTTTTGATTTGGTACTAACAGCACCAGAGTGTGCTTAACTCTGGCTCCATGACCTCTCTTTCAGCTTTTTACAGAAATACTTTTCGCACTATTAAATCCTAAACCTAAATGTGAAACTCATGAGTTACACCAGTGCTTCCATGCAACAGACGTGTCACTCTGTGATGCTCAATCCCCGTATTACTGTTCTGGCTCCCTGTTTGTCTCATCACGTTGTGTGGGAAGGAGAAAATTAACGTATTTATTTGCTGCTTCTTCACAGGTTACCAAAATGGTCAAAACAGTCACCACCAGAACAGTGCGTCAGGTGCCACTTGGGCCTGATGGCCTGCCATCAATGGATGGCTCATCTCCGATGGGCAGCTACACAGATTCAATAGACAGAAGGTACATGAAGAATGGGGAGCGGTACATCACACCACAGGCATCATCCACATTAACCAGATCTTACAACAGCTACAATGATTCTTACCCTGAAAGCCACGAAGGCCAGTATCGCCCTTATATTGGTCATGACGGTTACGGAGATCTGTCTGATAACTACGGCAGCTTGTCTCGTGGTGTCAACTACCGTCCTCGCTATGCCTACATGCCAGGAAACAGTTACAGGCCAGATGATGGTAGTTTCACTTTGCCAAGCAGAAGGGATAACTACGGTCCTGTAGCCCAGCCTCAGGTGCCAGTGGGTAGCAATGTTGACTTGAACCGCTCCCAGCCAGAACGTTTCCAGCCAGAGCCCTATGGACTGGAAGATGATAACCGCAGCCTTGGAGTAGATGATGAAGGATATGAACTGGATCCTGATTACTCCACTGTGAACCGGAGGACATCTGCAGGTGTGCCAGAGAGAGGAAGACCTCACAAAGGAAGGTAAAACCGATTTGTTTTTTACAGTGCTAATCTGCAGCTGTTTTACTTATTATAAACATGTACATTTGAACTTTTAATACTCCTGTAAGTTCTGGAATTACTTAACAGAAAAAATAGGTAGAACCCGTCATTTCATTAGCCCATAAATGATTGCAAAACGCACATTAAGTACAGAAGGGAGTGAATGTAATTCTCAAGAACCTCTTCTGTGTGTTTATGGGCTGCTTAGTTTAGGTTGAATTTAGAAGGAAAGAGATGTTCTTCTACAAGAGGGCTAAGTTACCTTTTTTCCTCTTCCTAAAAAAAGTTGTGACTGCATTGTGTTTGTCCAAGAGCCATCCCACACTAGCAAGGTGAAAAGAGGTATTTGTAATCTGAGGTTTCTGACAGGTCTGGTTATGTGCACATCTGCCAAACAAATTTTGAACAGCTGTTTGGGGTTGCAGACAAGCTGATACTGGTGGTGAAGGGTGCCTTGTTACATAAAAGCTGTCTTGTGAGATGCTTGACAGCCTCAGCTCCTGATCCTGTGCTAAGTGCACACCCTCAGCGACATGGCCAGGTTGTGCTGAACCTCACTGAAGTGCTTAGACATTTGTAAAACAGGATTGTGATTCTATCCTCTGCCTACGTAAAGGGGAGGCAAGAGCATCTGTGTTGCACTTATGTAACTGGTCATTTTAGTTATATTTACTTCCGATTCAGTCCCCTTCCAAGGGATGTTCTGTTTTATGCCCTATTTTCTGGTATTAGTTGCTTATGGTGGGCTCGCAGCTATCAGCTCTTTCATTTGGAGAGAAAAAAAAAAGCTTGGGAAGAGAGTCTTGTGTTACTCAGCTAAAAGTCATCTTCTGAGTATGAACTTGAAAAACTTGTATACTTTGTCCAATCAATGTACAGACTTTTGTGTACACCTGCATGAAGCCTCATTCTCATGTTGCATGTTTCGTTATGGATTTAGTTCTCATTAGTTTCTAGAGCTGTAAAGGGAGTCTGGAACTCACCTGCCTCTGAGTGTAGTTGGTCTTTAGACTTAACACTTCTAACCAAAGACTCTACTTCATCAGCAGTAGTTGGCAGTGGGATTTGGGGAGGCCTTTTCACTCTCTTGTCTTGGAGTGCTCCTACTTGGAGATGTTACATCATTCCTGGTCTCATTTATACTTTCATAGCTCAATCTTCATATTTCTGGAAATTCGTTTTAAAGCTAAATGATATCAAGCACCTGCAAATCATCATCTATATTTTAAAAACAAACAAACAAAAAACCAGAAGAAAAGGTATCAAGGCATATCTTCCAGAACCCCCTTTAAGTCCCTTGTGACATCTTTGATCTTGCAAGCTTACCAACCAGTGGAATCACAAGCATATTCTATGGGGCTAAAGGGAATATCTGCAGCCAGTGGGTGCCAAAATACTGACCAATCTATCAAACTTTAATTGGTGTTCCCCTGCATCTAAGCAAGTTTACAGTTCTCATTAAAAAGAGTCAGGCAGCAGTGCTTTTAAATTTTTATTAACATTTTTCAAACTGTATGCACAATGAATAATTAAATGTATTCTTAGAACCTACCGATTTGCATTTTTAAAGTGTCTTGTTTATTAAACAACTCTTTGATTTATTGTTCCTTGCAGTTTGGATAGGACCAAGTTCACAATTTTTATGCTTCTTTTGTTGTGTTTTTCCATATTTAATATGATCAAGAGAATTTGACAAGTAATTAGCCTGTCTGTGGCAGCAAACTTTAGTTGGTGAGAATGTAAGATTGTATGAGGGCTTCTTCATAAGTAGTTACTTTTTGACATTTCAAAGAAATACTTGAACAATTCAACAAACCTGCATTTCAGATATGCTAATGATCTGCAAGGAACTAAAGACTACAAATAGTGCTTTGTACAAGACGAGGGTAATTACTACTTGATTATTCCTTTCTAGATTTTTTTTTTAAACTAACTTATTCCTTATGAAAACGATTAAATGAATGTGATAAATTGATGGTGCTTTTGATTTCAGGAAGTTTTTATGTGTAGAGTAGGTATAATAACAGTGTTAGAAGCTTTTCTACATCGTGCCGACTTTCAGCTTGGGCATCTTCATCGTGCTGTGAACAGAACTCTTCTGTTGGCTAACTCACTGCAGAAACTTATGTTATTCTCTCATTTTCTTCCCAGTAAGTGCTGCCCTCATTTGTTCATAGTTTAAAGGTAGAATAAGGATCCTTGCTGTTGTTTCTTAGTTTTGATGCGGTTCTGTCTGAGAGGACTTAATGGAGGTTTCTCATCTGAATCTGTGGTAGTGAGTCTCACCCCCTGTGTGATAAGGAGACAACCCAGCTGTGTCTGGAGGGGATCCTAGTCAAGGGAATTACAAGTACAAATTCTTCTTTCCAACCCTTGCCTGCTCCATTTGATCACAGAGATAATCCTTCTGCCATCACCAGCCTCATTTTAAGCTATTTATATTTCATTTTAAACTGGGGAAAAATGTGCCTCCTCACAAACATCTACAAATCCAGGTAAGTCCACAAGGGCAAATATTCCCTCTGTTGGCCCTTCAGTGTTTGTGGCTGCATTTGTTTCTTGTTTGGTTTGGTTTTGGTTTTTTTTTTTTAAATACTGAATCTGTTGTAAGATACATTATTTTCTGCAAGAAGAGTACCTGGCACTGAATGTTTTTTTCCTCAGCATGTGCTCTGGTTTGGTTTATGTCAGATGGCATAATAAATTGGGGTGTATAATACTGATTTAATATTACTCAGATTTACTTGTGAAGGTATTTACACATCTTCAGTTGGTTTTATGCCTTTTTTTCCTTTATTTGGTAGGTTGTCTTTATTAAATGAGGAGAGGTTCTATCACAGTCTTTAAAAATACGTAGTCTTACAGTGTTGTTAGGTGTTTATATATACAGTCCTTTTTGAAAGAGAAGCAGGAAATACTGCATATTTTTCATTTGTAAAAAAAGTCCCTACTTCTTTGAGTATTTTTTTAATCATTAAATTTGAAGTTAACACAAATGAGCAGGGAAAAATGGCAAGTCATAAATTACCGTATTATTTTAAATTATCTTCTTACCTTCTGTTCAATTTCTCATTTCTTGCCTCTGGTAATTTCTTTCCAGAGTGGATCATTAGTCTGCACTTGTACCAGCATTCATAGGACTTCTTTTTCCCTAACAGCTCTGGAGCAGCTATTGCCAGTGTTACTATTCCAGAGTAGACAGGATATGAATGTTTCATGATGACAAAATCAAGACCGAAACAGTTTTCTGCTGTTAAATTTTCTATGGCAGAAGCCTGATCTAAGGCACTGAGACTGTATTTGATGGTCACTTCATGGTCCAAATTGTTACTACCAGGAAATGAGGGAGATTTTAGATTAAATTTTAAACTAGGTCTCTCTTCTGTTATGTATAGACAGTGCGAGAATATTGATATCACATATGTGTTAGTCACATTCTACTTGTGGTGTCTTTTTTCAACCTAGAATATAAAGGCTTATATTTGTAGTTGAGCTTTCAGACAGCACTTCAGGCCTGACTTCACCTGTCTCCAGTGTGGTCTCACAGCAGCTCCTGTGCAGGCAGCTTAAGGCTGGGGAGATACCTGTCACCGTAGCCTCTTGGGTTTAATGACCAGTAATTGTAATGCCAGGGTGTGGGCAACATTGGGATGTTGTCTAGTTTGGGGCAGGAGTGTATGGACGTGCCTGGGCAGAACCAGGTGAAGGAGAAAATGCAGTCAGATTGGAGATTTGTGTGGTTTTTGTCTGAGGCTTCTCCTTATCGTGACTTTGATCTCAGTTTGGTGATCTTCTGGTAGTGGAAGACTAGCGTATGGCTGAGTTTTATGTAGCAGGTGGCAACCTGAGTCAGCTCATCCATTAGCAGCTTTTAAGGTGGTTCCTGTCAAGGGGATTTTGGTGTTTTAACTGTATGGCCCATAGCTCAGACCTGTCTCAGTGGAGGATTCAGTCCAGTTTTGAATACTCCTGTGAGTCCTGCTCTCAGGGAACAGAGGCCGGTAAAAGTAGGACCTCATTCTGCAAAGCCTTTAGATTTCCTCCTCAGTGTTTGGCACAAAGTTCCCAACTGAAATCCCAAGCCTTCCTGGTCTTTTATCCTAAGCAGACACCAGCTGCAAACTGTGATGAATGTAACACTTGTATAAATTGTTGAGGATTAAATTTGTAAATCCTTCACCTGTTTACTCAAATGTGCTTATGTTGAAGCCCCAAGGAAGATGATAAAGCCACAAGGAAGATGATAAATCCACAAGCTCTCTCCCAGTTTTTATCTATGCTAAAATGTGTTTTGATCAATTCCCTGAGACAGGTGATTAGCGAGACCCACGGCATCCTGAAAACTCAGCTGCCTTGCTGCAAACAGATGGAAGGCAAGATGCTTGTAGTCAGCAACTCTGGCATACTACCAGATCTCTTCAGTCCCGAGAGTAAAGAGCTCTTGGCCTCCTGAGCACAGAGGACTGTATCTGCTGAAGCTCTCATTAGTCCTCCTTCTGTGTCAAGTGTTTTTCCTTTCCAGTGTAGCTGTTCTGCTGGTGTGAAATTGAAAAATCACATTTGGCCCCCACTGGTCCAACTCAGATGATTTCTTTACTCCGTGTATAAATGTGTTGCTGATTTTACTCATTTGTCTTCAGAAACTGGGTGTGTTTAACTCCCTGATAGATATTTTCTTTTGCCTTCTTCACTCTTTGCCTACTCTGCACCATTTCTCTGGCCCCCAAGCCCCCTGTAAAAGGAGGGGAGCTGGGACCTGAGCTGGGCAGGACCATCCTCACTCCCACAGAGAGGGGATCTCTGTCTGCCAGGGCAGGCAAAGGCCTCATGGTACTTCTGTGTTATGCCACATCATCAGTTATTTTGCTCACTTGCAGATGATGTGTTTTGGTAAACTGCTAGCCTTCAATGCTGTTAAATAATGGCAGAGCTGATATTTGGACCTTCCCTTGTAAAATATTTCAAGATTCTTTTCCTTTTTAATTACAGTGTGGGTGGTTTTGTTTTTTCTTTTTTTGCTCTCCAGACTTGATCACTGTATTTAATAATGTGAATCTGAATTGGTGTGATACTTGCCTCTGCTGAGCTTTCTTGTATAGCTCTTAAGTTCACAGCAGGATCTGAGTTTCTACAAAATTATTCAGGGTCTTGAAGGGTCAAGTGTCCAAGTGTTACCTTTGCTGGCAGGTAAAGTCTTTGGGTTTTGTTACTGATGCATTAACCAGTGACTCTTTACACTGCTTTATCCTACAGAGGTATGTTAGATCTGACCTGCATGGGCTTATTTGAGCAATAGTGTTTCTTGTGTTCATCCTTTCTCTACAGATAGTTGAGAGATGCTGTTTTGTTTCAAAATAGCTGCCTTAGTATACTAAAATGGTCATGATAGATGTGCAATCCTATTTTTTCACTAAGGAGATGGTCCAGCAGAATCAGGTTGAGATTGGCAGGAACAAAGTAGGAAGTGAATGGTTCATGTAAGAATGGGACTGTATGAAAATACCAGCAGTTGTTAAAAGTCACTTACGGTTCAGGGTCTGTTTCCCTGAATATGCTTTGCTTCTGCTGTGAGGATGGGGCCAGCAGTAAGTGCTGTGGTCACCACTTCGCCACGGAGCAGAAGCTGGTGGGTTCTGAGTAATTCTGCCCTCCCTACCACCACCTGTGTGATTCATCCTAAACCATCCACATCACTCAGTACCCAGCAGTGCTCAGGAATGCAACCTCTTCCCTGCAGGATGGAACACTCAGCATCTTCCCATGTCCTGTTCTACACCAGCTCTGTGTCCTGGGGATTCCTTCAGAGAGGGATCATCAAAACCTTTTGGCTGTCTTTGGTGCATCAGTAGCTTTGTATCAGAACAATGGAAGAAAAAAATCCTTTTTTAAAACAAAACTTTGTTAGAATAAGTAGCAAGTTGGAATGTGTTGGGATTTTTTTCTTAATGACTAGTTCTTTACTTCAGGTATTCACATTCATATTTGATACCTAGTGATTGACAATTTTTGAAAAGTTAGTATTGTTACAAGAGTTATGTGATGCCCTCTCTTGTCATGACAGTGTTGCAATTTAAAGTCCTAACTGAAGTTTTATTTTGGGCAAATGTAATGAAATCAAGGAGCTTTGCGAGTTACCAACTCATGCAAGCAACAGCTGTGCAGAGGGTAATTATTAAAATTAATCTTCTGCTCCTTTTCTTTTATGCAGTCAATAAGAATTTAACATGAGGATGAGTTTGAGAAATCAGTTTTTGCTGTAGTTTTAATGCTGGTTGTTCCAAATTTGCATATGTAAACACAGCATTCTGTTTGAGTAGTTAAGAAGTTTTCCTACTACTGCCCTGTATGTCTGCACAAAAGTAAATCTTTTCAATGTTGTTACTTTCTTCTTGGAATGATGGAAACAGCTTTGTTCTCTCACAGAAAATACAATGATGTCCAGACATTGTAAAGTACTGTGTAGAGCAAGTACTGAATTATACATACGCAAATAACTGCATCGATAAAGGGATTTCTTCAGAGTCATTCTGAGGTTTGGATACGGGCCCATTTTTATCCTTTCATTCAGTTTATGGTTTAGAACAGCAATTAGAGCAACCCAAAGTCAGTAGAGACGCTTTTAACATTAAAAGCGTTAATTGTACAAGACCAAGTTCAGTCTCCACCTCCGATTGTTCTTCTCCCCAGTCTAGTTTAATTAGCAGTCCTTTCAGGATAACAACAAGCTCAATTTTCTTTGAGTTCTAATGGTCTATACTTCCTTCAGCATGACATCAGAAATTGTTCAGTAACATCAGTCAGTACTTAAAAGTTTTTAAGAATCATTTGTAGCAATTAAAACTACTTGCTTGACTGAAATAGCTACAATACAGAGATAGTAGTTAATCTGTCCAGGAAGAAGCAGTAAGGCCAAAAGCTGATGCTGTTTTAAAAAAATTATATAGGAGTCAGTTTATGTCAACACCTATTAAGAAGAGTGGGAAGGGAGGATAAAGAAGAAAAATCTTCTGGGCTTGAGGTTTAAAATAATGGGATTCATTGGAATTTTGATTCAGCTCCCCCATGGGTTCCTCAGCTCTTCATTTTTCTCAGCCAGGTTAGTCTTTGTGCTAACTTCACAAAGTTGAAAGCATTTGTTGGAGTTCATAACTTCTAGGTGCAAGTCACCTTATTGCCCTGTGGGTTTATTCACATACAAAAATTGAAGAATCTGTGACCAGTGGGTCACTGCGTGCAAGCTTCAGATTTCCTTTGGTCCTTCTCCTGAGGCCTGAAGTATTATCTCACAGATGGGTGCGCTGCACATGCACTGAAGCTCCCCTGCACAAACTGTGCGTGTTCTGGAGGATGAAATCCCTTGAGTAAGGGATGAAGTATATCAGTGAATCTCAGGAACAAACTCTGGGGTTGTAAATGCCTTTTTTTACAAATCTGTTGCAGAAATGTTCTGTCTTTAGCAGCTAGTTACAGGAAGTGATTGTGGGGTAGGGCTAGAGGGTTCTGAAGATTAGATACTGTAGCTGCAGGTGGTTCTTAAAGAGAAATACTTGTCAAATACTGGGTTTCTTGTTTTTTCTTAAAGAGTGTGGACATTGGTAGTGTGAGAATGTACTGTTACTCAAGTGTGTTGATTGTAACTGCCCTTTGTGTGAACTAGGACAGTAATACCTAAACAGGTGTGTTTAGGGGGTTGTGACTGACCTTACTTTAGTTACACCCAGTGAATTATGGCATAGTGAGATGGATGCCATTCTTTCTAATGCTGTAAAGGATCTTAAGAGTGCTTTACATCCAGGTTAGTTGCTGAACTGGAGAGGAAAGCTCGGAGTACTGGACTTGTTTTGGATGTCCAGCAAATTACTCTGGTGTCAAAAGTTGGACCCAAGTCTCTTGACCATCAGACTCTTACCTGTGTTCTGAATGATTCTGTACCAGATAGACTTTTATTACATGCTTGGATTCAGGACTTAGGTTTTCCATCCTCTCTGACATTGTTATGTAGATTGATGAGTTCAGTATACTTCTGTGGGCATCAACATGGAAATGTAGGGGAACTTCTCAGACTTGCTGAAGAGGCCCAGACTTGAATGCCTTTAATTAGAGTTTTGGTTTGTTGCAGAAGTAGCCACATTTAATGAAGCTCAATGTTTCATACTAAATGTAATTTACCTCTATCATAATTGTTTTGCTCAGTGACCAAAATGAAAGCAATCTGTTTGATGACTTGCTGTTCCTGTCATCCCTTCATTGGTAGCCAAATACTGTGCTATAGTCCCATTGCTGCTGAGTACTCAGCTATGGTTAATTTTCAAGTTACTACAAATAAATTATTTGGAAGTGTGAATATGCTGCACCTAATGATGGTTGTGATATTAAAAGGTTAGCTGAAATCTCCATATTGCCTCAGAGGTACAGAGTGTTTAAATGTGCTTTTTTTTTTTTTTTTCCTTTCTCTTTTCTTGGGACTATTGCTTCTTACAGGGGCTACGATGACCCCATCGAGACAGAGATGGTTGAAGAAAGGATACCTTACCTTCACGGTGGCTACGCAGCACCGCTGGCACAGCCAGAGAGAGGAAGCATGGCTAGTATTGACCGTCTGGGGAAGCGCTCCCCCTCTATTGACAGCATTCGTAAGGACCCCAGGTGGAGGGACCCTGACCTCCCTGAAGTAATTGCCATGCTCAGCCACCCTATTGATCCAGTCAAGTCTAACGCCGCAGCCTACTTGCAGCACTTGTGCTACGAGAATGATAAAATCAAAAAGGACGTGAGGCACCTTAAAGGGATACCTATCTTGGTGGGTCTACTTGATCACCCAAAGCCGGAGGTCCATCGTAAAGCCTGTGGGGCTCTCAGAAACATCTCCTATGGGAAGGATAATGAAAACAAGGTGGCTATAAAGAACTGTGATGGGATCCCTGCATTGATCAGACTGTTGCGAAAAACAAATGATATGGAAGTCAGAGAGCTAATTACAGGTCAGTGTCTGTAGTTTCTTTAATGAATTATTCTTTAGAGGAGTCCTTTCAGCTTCAGGAACAAGTGTCTCGTGATTAGAGCACTGAAGGAGAATTTAGATCAGTGGCTGCAGCTGTTTCTTTAGGTTCACCATGTTTGTGGTGTGAGAAAGCCTAAGGCAAACATGCCCTTCAGGGAGGAAATCGAGATCGTCTGTGTATATAGCACACTCAGGTTGCTGTGGCTGCCGAGAGATGGATGGTGCTTCTTGGATGTAGCATGCAACTGCATGCGGTTGAGTTACCGAAGCTTAAATGAGTTATAGCAACTTCATTGACAGGTAATTTGTAGTGTGCTTGCCCTCAGCGCGCTACGATCATGAGGTACAATATGCTAATCTAAAACTTTCCTTGTTAATCTCTTGCAAAACAATCCTGCTGCCATGTCCCTACTACTTCATATTGATAGAACAGTCAGTCTCCTCAGGAACACTTCCAGCCCCCAGTGCTGGGGACTCTCACGCTGTATACAAAGTTACAGCACTTCTGGGCTGGAAAACTCACATTTTAAGGAGTGTGGAGTCTGCTGTTGAGATGCTCTGGATACGGGGCTTCCTTGATGCAATAATCAGAAAAGGGAAAATTACATTTTGAAGTTACTGAGTTCATGCACACTTTGCAGGGAGTTTTCAATCACTTATAATTCCATTATTCAACCTGGTTTTTATTTGAACTTAGTCTTGGACTTCATCCAAAAAGAGTAATAAAGTATATGCCAAGTTTCAAAGTTCAGCCATTAAGTGGAAGAGGGTGGGAAAGTATGTTAGCTCTTAAACTAAGGAGAAATATATTGTTCTTCAGTCTTCCGTAACTCATGAGGAGTGAAATGGATTTCCCTTTCTCTTCTAAGAAGCAGCAGGGTATGTTTGGATGGAGACAGGGCAGTTGCAATGAATATCAGTGCCAGGACAGAATTTTTCAGGAAGCTTTGTGACTGCAAAAATGTGTACAGGGCTGAAATGGTTTAGCTACCTCATCAGTGTTGGATTCTCAAGGCAGACCCTATTGCAAATGGATTAAACCATTAGAAGTAAACATCATAATTCCATAGTTGTCTCCAAAAAAAATATAGCAGCTCTTCCAGGATTTTACTGGTAATTGTAATTCTCTGAGAAGAGTGGCCTTGGGTGGTCCAACTGTTCTTCTCTAGCTGTTATAAGATATTTAGCAAACTAAGTGTAAATATACATTGTAGACACTAGCAGGGATATTTTTCCAGTCCTTTTCCAGCGAGCTGATAGAGCTGTCTGTTTTGTCAGAGAACCTTTAAGTAGCATGTGTTGGTTGTGCTTTGATTGCTGTCTGTGCTTTGTCTCATAACATGGGAACTCTGTAGGTAGTATTTATATTCCATTTGTTGCACTCATTTAGTATGATGGCTGACTTAAATTTATTGGAGTTTTTTAAATAAAGAATATCTGTTTATCTACTGTTCTAGTTTACTCAAAACTCATTTCTGGAGTGCTGAGAAGGAATAAATTTATTTCTTTAGATACAGGAAAGGAGAAGCCAGTCTATAATTTACTCTGAAGGAATATCATTATAATGCTAAGTGGTAATCAGTCACTTTTGAGATGGCAAAAACAAACTGGATGTTTTCCCTTTTGCTCTAAATGGCGATTGCTTTGATTTCCAGTTGATTAATTAGTTTTACAGTTAAAATACATTTTATTTGACAGTAGCTTCTGCTAATTAAATGTAGTATCTTTATTCCACTTTGGGTTTTGTATTTAAAGCTCTTTATTTCTTACTCAGAAACACCAGGAATACTGAGGGCATTAACCTAAACAGATGTCCAGCAACAGATGATGTGTATTTAATCTCCACGTAACCATGAATAATTTCTTTCCACTTCTAAAATGATATCATCAGATCCGGTGTGAGATATTCAAGCATCAGTATAGAAGAGAAGAGTATTCCAGCAATGCTCTGTGCCTGATGCTGGTGTACTTGCAGCCAGTGTTCAAAGCCTCGGTTCATAATGTGGAATTGTCCATTCGAAAAATGAGCTCCAAAAGTCAGCAGAGAGAAACAAGAGCCAACTTGAAGTGCAAAGGGAGCATTCAGCCAGGGCTGCTACAAAAGGACTGTGTTTTGCAGCCTCAAAAATTCAGATCACAGTTCTGATGTTCTCGTGGTAGAAATCTTGACTTCCTCCCTTGGTACTTTTCCCTAGTGATAAACCAAAGTCTACCTTTGCTATGAAAGTTTTTTGTTCTGTCTGGAGTGAAATCTCTGGGGAATTCTGCAACAATGAAAAAAAGAAAAAGGGGGGGATGGGAAGAAGAGACAATAGCATACAGGGTTTGCTTGTTTATTTCTTTTAACAGGCTGCAAATTCAAGTTTGGTTAAGACACATTGACTTCTCTGCAGTTTAGTATTTCTTTAACTCAATACCAGCTGTTGTTTGAAAGCTGATGAGTAATAATGAGCTGATCATCCCAGATGTGAACAAATTATAAAATAATCTTGCTTTCCAAAGAGATTTAAGTAATTTAAAGAAACTTAAATAGTTCAGATGTCTGAATTCAAGAGCACTTCCAGTCTTGAAGTTTTGTTTCTCAGGGTGTGGGACACTGCCTGCCTGCAGGACAGGAGGTACATGGGAGCATACAGTAAGACTCGTTATTTGCAGCTGGAGAGGGTGCTATCTGGCTAAGGAGTGTCATTCTCATCTAAATTGAGACAGTCCTTGGCTTTAGTACAGCTCCATGGCCTCTCATTTACTTGGAGATCTGATGCAGCAGCCATGGCTGTGAAGGACAGTATGAATCAGGCCAGCCAGCTGGGTCTGGTCAGTGGGTTAATGGAGTGGGAAGAAAGCCACACCAATACATTAAAAATGCATAAGGGGTAGATGCAGTGGCAAGACAGCATAAGGGAGGAATCATATGCATGATGCTCAGTGCTGAATGAGTGAGGCCTGGTGTGTCAGAGTGTGTTCACTTGACTACTTCCAAAATACATCTTTTGGAGAATGCAAGTTAAGCGTATTGACATGCAGTTCTGGAAGCAGGCCGAGTATGCTGATACAACTCTACTGCTAGATGAAGCAAGTTTGTAGCTTTTTTTCTTTCAGAAAGCACTGGTTTTAGCAGAATTTGAAAACCTCTCGGTTAATGCCATCTCTGTTTTACCAGATGTTCTTGATACATCTGTGTGTGGCACTAAAACTTGATGCCCCTCAAGATAAAACAGATGTGAGGTGTGTAAAAATACCTTCAAAACTGAAGATACATCCATAAAATACCACAGATCTCACTTCTCTCTTTTTAAGAGTTACAAAATGTCTCCCATCTACTGCACTGAGAAAAACTTGATTTAACTGTTAGTGTCCTTAAGTAAATCACAAGTAGAGCTGTGATGAGAAATACTCCACAAAATTCTTCCTTGCATCTCTTCCTAGTCTTGGAACTGTACTGCTGAACTTTCAATGGATCATTTTCTTGAGAAATGGAGAGAAATGAGGATTAAGCTGATAAGGAATTAAATCTGTTCTGATTGGGAAAGCTGCAGAAGTTTTATCTTGAGTGATAGGGTTTTTTTGTGGAGGAAATGTTCCCATCAGATATGCAAGACCAAAATTCTATTACATTCTTTGAAAAGCAATCAGAAGTTGGTAGCTTTAATGAATAATTTTGTTCTTTGTGAGAACATTGAAAGTAATTTTGTTGTTTAACGACATTGCACTGATTTTAAGTGGTGCTGAACGTGATTTTCCTGATGTTGTATGTTGCCAAACTGGTTTTAATTGAAAAATGATTGACCTTCAAATTGCTCTTGCAGAGGAAATATTTTGATCTAATACTATAATAGAAGCTTGCAGATTGATCAGCTTGCGCAGAATTCACACCTGGGCATTTATGTCTGGTAAAATCTTGTCAGCTGATCAAACACTAACTTCTCTTTGAAGTACCTTGCTGTCTTGAACTTTCTGATTATAGATGAGCTTACTCATTACTTTTTTTAAAAGGTTTGTCAGAAGGAGATCCCTTTTCATAGTGTATTCTATGACACAGTAGTTCATGTTGAGGTTCTCAATTTGACCACTACTTACCTTGAAGACGCACAGCTTCAGTCTTCAGGACTTAGCATGATAGAAATAAGTCTGCCTGACAAATGCATACAGGACCAACATGCAACAAGAAGTCTTTCAGTGAACATAATGCAGAGCACACTTTTCTTTTTTTTTCCGAATGGTAAATGATTTGTTACGGAGCATAGATAAAGAACTAAACAGTTGCTTCTAATTTCTTGGTGCCATTGGATTTTTTCAAGTAAGCAAGCACAGTAGGAAAAGATTTCCCTTGGCTTTTAGAAGATATTAGCACGTATGTATTCTGCCACAGTTTCTTTATAAATCTTAGCACAGCTCTAAGGAGTCAGAGATGTAGGAAATTATGACTGTGTCCCTAATGACTTTTAATATTACGTAAATCATGTAGCTATGTTTACAGTTTATAGTAAATTTTAATACATTTTTACAATAATCAGTACTTTTGCAATAAAAACTTGTAGCTATTGTCTCTGCTTAACATGCTGGAAGAGTACAGGTAATGGTTGTAGTTAGAAATATATATTACAAATAGTAATTATGAATAAAATAAAGATTGATCATGATTGTGATCATCTTCTGAAAAGCAATCACTTGTCTTCTCTAGTCTTAGTATTCATGCAATCTGGGGTTAAAAAGGTGAATACTAGTAGTTAAAGTGCATGGAAAATTTAGGTACCTTCATTTCCCTTATGCTTCTGTGTTAGTGACTTGATTTGAGTGCTATTCATTTGAATTGGTTGAACAGTTTTAAAAACAGTGTTTCCAGCTTGTTAGATCATTAGTGTGTTATGCTAATAGAGACAGGGAGTGATTCTTACATGGATGTCGAATTTACAGCGATTTGAGTTTGTTTTTTTTACTCAGATTTTCTCTTACACTGCTAAAACCTGCAGTCTGATCTGAATTTGTTCACTTTTTTGGTAAGTTTCTCTGGCTGACACTATCCATGTCTTTTCCATGGAATTTGTTTTATCTAGAGCTGAGAGGATGCTGGAATTTAGATCTCTTTGTTTCGTAACTTTGAATAAGAAAAATGTATTGTCACTGTTTATTTCTTGTATCCTTCTTGTGGAATATTTTCCCAATGAAGTCAACCTTGCATCTGATTTTTCTCTGTGTTTGGAACCACAAGTCTCTCTCATCTGTGTTTATCTCAGGCTACCTTTCTGTTAAGTGCTGTACGTTCTTCTTTGGTGAATGCTGTTCAACAGGGAAATTCTTTTGGTTTTCCTCATGCAACTGTCAAGTAGAGTATTATAAATTTAAGTGGTTTGACATTTTTGAATAATTTGAAGAGTTTGTGCTTTTTTTATAGTGACTGTCTTTTCTTCTTCACACTTTGTTAGTGTTTTCTGTGAAACATTTGAGAGATGGGAGACAGATGAGAAATTGAAAAGCTTGTAAACTGATGGGGGTTTTTTTCTTCATAGAGGATGGAGGAAAGGCATCAGTCCCCATTGTCTGGTAGCTACTCAGTGAGATCAACAGTCAAAATGTGTTGGCCCCGAATGGTTTATTCCATAAATTGCAGTCAGCCTCTTAGTAAAAATTCTGGATGACTTAGGTACAAGAGATCCTTTTGTAGGGGCAGGTAGTGTTCCTGGTCTGGATGGCATTACTAGCATCAGTGAAGCTGACTTGTATGTGGTAGATTGGCAGGTTACTGGTGTTTTCAGTGTTGCAATCCAGTTAGAATATTATGGAATCCCCATTGCATTTAGCCTCTTGAAGTAACTACTGGTGAATGAAAATATAGGAGAAGAGGGAGTTTGGAGGTGGTGATTTTATACATTGAGGTTGAAGGTATTGCAATCTAGACACAAGTTTTGAAGTCTTAGAAGATTTGAACACTGGAAAACTTTTATACAATCCTGTAATTTTAGAGCTCTTGAAGATTGTATAGGTATTTTTGACTTTTTAATTGTATGTCTGCCTGATTCTTCTTAAGCAGTGAAATTTGCCACTGTAGTTTCCCTATACAGATAACACATTATGTCACTCCTCCAGGAAAGGGGAAAAGGCAGAATCTCTTTTCAGATGCAAAAGTAGTATGTGCATTTTAGGAAAGAGCTCTTAAAATTGAAGGGCTGTCAGATTTTAAAACTTAGTTTTTCCACATACAGATGATTTTAAATCTCTACATTGTTTTCAGTTGCAATATTTTGCAGTTTCAAAAGAACAGAAATGCAGTATCCTTTACATATACTGTACTAGATTACTTAGTTGATGCCATCTTTTCCTAATAGTTTTTTGACACTGCAAATACCAAATGGTCCATTTATGATCCTGTGAGGGAACTCTGGCAGAACCCTCCAGAACCAGGGTGTTCTGCACTCACTGTTCTCGGTTTGAATCTAGGTTTGCTCCAGAGTTGATTATCCTGTATAACCTCCTGGGATATGTCCATCTATGTTCAGTGCTGGATGTCTGGGTTTTGCATTTGAATTTTGAAGTACTGGACCAGCGATGTGTTTAAGGACTTAACTGTAATAATTCTTTTTATATCAGTGAGTGATATGTTTAAGAAATTAGTGTACAATAGCTAAAGAGAGACTGTCCTGTCTAGTGAAGTATTTAAAATTCTTGGGTAGCTTATATGTCAGCTTTTATAGTTTTCTTACAAATACTGATGTGTTTGTTTCTTGTATGATGTGTATTTTTGAGATAATTTGTTATGAGAAGTAAAGGCTTTCTTCCACAACAAAATGGGGCCAATTAGCATTTTTTGCTTGGTTTTGATAATTTTCTTATTGTCCATTGTTTGGTGTTCTGCAGTGACAAAGAGTGATTTATTGTAATGGGTATGAAGAGAAAATTAATTCATATTTCACCTATACAGTCTTGTTTGAAAGCTGAAAAAAGCAGGTTATAAAAACTGCATAAGTGTTTTGTCTAGGAATGGTAAGGGCAATAGGCCAAAAAAAGCAGTATTTGTGTATGATTTCAGAAAAAGACAGAAAGAAACATTATGGTGTTCATTCTGTTGTCTGTCTTGGAGTTTCTTTATTAATTAATATGGTCTCTTAAGTCTGAACAGATGCCTGGATTTTGTAAAGATCACTTTGAATAGAAGACACCATAGTATTTGACTTCTGAGTCTCTGCTACTCATTAGCCTTGAGGTTATCGTGTAAGTGCCAGTCACTCACAGTGACTCTGCTCAAACGGAGATAAAATTCCTGTCCTGACTTGGTGCCTGTCATGACCCTATATGGATAATACTCTGATATTAAAATAGGATGTGTGGCATTTGATGCTTCTGAGTTGTAGCAGTGAAAGCCTGAGCATGAAAGAGTTCCCACAGATAGCTGCCGCCGCTGGTTTGGAGGTGAGTGCGGTGGCTCTGGCAGGTCTCCGGGACGCTGGCTCATCGCACAGCAGCAGGCTCCCTCGCTACTACACGCTTTGCATTGACTGACAGGGTCCAGCAAGCCCATATTGTGTTAAACTATGTGACAAACGTAATAGATACAGTAATTTTTAAAGCTTAAAAACTGTTGATTTTACAACTTGGAGTGATATAAAGGGACAGAAACAAAAAGTTGCACCTTTGTTCTCTTGTGTTTTGCTTTAGACTTGTATACGAAGAGGTGAGTAGCTATGTTTTGCACTGTAACGTGCACAAATTCACAGTTGTGGAAACACAGCCTCAGGTTAATATAGTGTCCACTTATAAAAGATTTCCTGTGTGTTCTGGGAAATCTAACTTTTCCATTTGGTCTCTCTGAAATTTTGCTAGTCTTCACTCTTCCCCTTGGAGATCAAAAGTGTGCAGCTGGCTCCCTGCAAATGTTGTTACTGATAGTTCTCAGGCTGGACCTATGCAAAAATTCTCTGGAGTGGATGTCCTGTTCTAGTCCTAACCTAATGAGCTGTCAGGACACTGATACAGGTCTGCTGGGAAGTTGTATCGCTTATCTAAGACTGCATATTTTTACAATTGTAAGTCTGATCCTCTGTTATGTTGTTTTGATGTTTGACTTTTGACTCATAATTGAGGTTAAAATGGAAAGACACAGGAGTTCTGGTCCTCAGCTTCTTTTAGGAAGCGTACGCTTGTGGCACCGGGTGATTTGAACACAGATATTCCTTAAGACAGGAAAATGTGAAAGTAAATAATAGAGAGGAGTCTTGAATGAAATATTGTCTTGTGTAGAGGATAAGCAGAAGATCAATGATCTTCCATAAATTCATCCCTGTTTTTAAGACTTACTCAATAGACTTGTCTGCTGCACTGGATGAATTTTTACTTTTTGAGGCATAGATAGACTTAAAAGTTTAACCGAATTTGTATATAGGAGCAAAATCCTTCCAATCTCCAATAGCACATCACATTTATGTACTATCTGGTAGGACTTAATGACTTCAACAATATCCATATCTTGATAAAAGTGCTTCCATGCTTTTGGAAGTGTTTCTGTTCCAGTGACCATGGAATTTTTGCTAAGCTGTGTGCGAGTCTGGTGTCTCATCAAGTGCTTTTTCCTTATTATTTTTTATGATTAACTTTCTAGTGATTCTCTGAATCCAGTGATTGTATTTAATATAGAGATTTTTACGTAGTTACTATTCTCCTGTTATTTGATAATCAGTGTTTCTCCTGCAGGCACCCTGTGGAACTTATCCTCCTACGAGCCCCTGAAGATGGTCATCATCAACCATGGTCTGCAGACACTTACCAATGAGGTGATTATACCCCATTCAGGTTGGGAGAGTGAGCCAAATGAGGACTCTAAGCCTCGCGATGCTGAGTGGACAACTGTCTTCAAGAACACTTCTGGTTGCTTACGGTGAGGCAGAACTGTGGAGTATTAATCTGTTCACCATGTCTTGTCTTTAAGATTTTGTTACAGTTAATTTGATTTGTAATAAGGTATCATATATCTTTCATTTTTGCAGCTATACCCCCATTTCAGTGACCACAATAGCAATGCTTGGAGATATTTGCCTGCCACTGGCTCTTTTGTTGTAGGACTTGTCAATGTAGGTCTGTCCTGTGGGGTCAGTGTGAGGAGCAGGCAATTAATCCAGGTTAGGGGGAGTAGATCTATATAGGGCAGTGCATAATACAATGGAGAGTGACCCAGGTAAGGTTAACTGCCAAGCTGAGTACAAAAAATGCATTTTGCAATGCAAACTGTTCCGCAAATACTGAGAATCCCACTTTCATTTGTCTGTTGTACTGTGATCAGTGGGCTGTTTCTACAGATTTTGAGTACCTTCTCTGCTTCCCTTGATGGTGCTGGTTTTATTTATTTTGAAAGTGTGTTTTGAAACAACTCCTTCCTTGGTTTTAGGCCTTCTATCAAAAGGGGGTTTCTTTCAGATGCTGAAGAACTAGTTTCATGGAATTACACTGAGCCTGAAACATGGATCCAGTTTTAGCCATGAACACTTTTGTGGATACACTCCTATTTTAAGCCAAAGTGACTAAGGATCTATGGGAAATTAGTTAAGAACCTGAACTACTGACCATTTAGGAACCTATTTCTAACGTTCCTTGCAAAGGAGCCTGTTCTGGTTAGAAATCGTATTTGCATTTCTGAGAGCACCTTGAGAGCAGGACAGTAGATGCTAGAAGCTGGCGTCAGGAGGAATCCTTATGCAGTGTGAAGAACCAATGTTCCCTAAACACACTATCTTTCATTTTGCTTTTCTTGAGATAAAATAGTGGAGATGCCCTGTTAGGTTCTTCAGCTTTATGAAGTCAATTAGTTTGAACAAAACTAATAAATATTTGACATCATACCTTCTGTTGCTCTGAAGTATACTTCTTGTCAGATTTATACTGATTAGTGCATCTTCAGAAGTCGGTTCATTTCTGTTTCTTAGACTTGTGGTCTCTAAATTGCAATAACTATTCCCCTGAGTAACTTCACAAATGAAGAAAGTAATGAAAAGTGTTCTGAAAGGGCCCATTACTGAAATTATTTGCAGTCCCTCTGGAAGCTAAGGTCCTTTAAGTAGGTTCCAGACATCATAGGTTTTTACTTACTAGTGTCTCATTTTCTAATGGTGTTCTGCAAGAGAAAATTAGTCATGATGGGGATAAAAGGATTATCTGAATGAATATGAGATTCTCCAGTAAGTGTAGGCAATAAATTGATCATTAGTAGACTAACCTAATCCGCATCATAAATTTTTATTAGTATGTGGATCCACTTGAACTTCTACATTCCAGCATAACTTCGGGATATTTTATGTTTGTTTGCATATTTAATTTTTTTATTTTAAAAGTACTGATTTTAGAGGACATGCAAATCCTTGTGCCAATTTGGACACTGTATTCTTAAGGCTAATGAAGAGGGGTGTGTAGCATAGTAGTACTGAGATATGTTAGTTAGAAAATTTGAACTTTGGTAATTAAAAGTGGTTCTGATGCACCTCAACACCCAGTGAATGGTGACTGCTTCTGTTGTTGAAACAGGGAAATGTATTTCAGTTCTTTCATCTATAGTCTCTGCTGTCATAGTCATGTGGGACCATGTGCTTCCTTGTGGAAATCTGAAGCTTCAGCCAGATGGGGGACAGGATAATTTCATGCTTGAAAATAGTTGCTTAAAGTAAACAGAGACACGATGGCAGGTTAGCAGGGAAAGGCAGTCTGAAAAGGTAGTTTGTCCATGTCTCTGTTGTGCCACGGAGAGAGCAACATCTTGCACAGGCTGGGGGGAGAACTGTCTTGCTGTCTCCTGCAGTGAGATAAAGTGAGTCCAGAACAAGAGACAGAGAGGCAGGAGTAGGTGAAATATGAGCTGTCTTTCAGCTGGTCGTACTTCTTGTTACAGTGTTGGTGATAGCACATACCTTTTGTAGAGCACTTCGAGATCTAGGGATAAAAATGGGCATATCAAAAGTAATTATCATTACTACTGTTGAAAATAATTTTGCATTGTATGTTGAAATCCTCTGCAGCTCATCCTTAAAAGCATCAGCAAGATAAGATAGTTAACACCAGCAGAGAATAAATAGTAGCAGCCATCTGTCTGACAGACGTCAGTGTTTAAAAACCCCTTTGCCTAGTCTTTTCTTATTGACACAGTAGCTGGTCCTAGAAATTAAATTTTCCATGAATGGAGCTTATTGCAGACTACAAACTGTTTACCGATTTGATATTTAATTGGGAGGTTAGTCCTCTTGATTGTGTGCCAACCTCCTTAGTCCCCATTGGAAGTGAGCCTCAGGTGTGTGCTGTGTTGTCTTCCAAAAAATCTGACAGAATCTTTGAACTTCTGAGGTTTCAGATGTCCTTGCAGTTTAGATGTCTAAGCAGAAGACAGGCGTTATGCATGCAGGATGGCATTCATTTTGGTATCATTTTTTAAGTTAATGAAGTTTATCAGCAGATGTTGGCAAGTTTATTTCAAACTCGGCAATTCGCAGTGTGAACTGCCAGTTAATTATTTGTCCTTTTTTTTTTTTTTTACACAGCTTTCTCATCTTTACTTTGTTCTTATTCTAGGTTTCTCCTTTGATAATATGGAGCCTTGGAAACACTTATTTCAAAATAATTGAAACTAAGTAATTTTAAAAAGAAACAAAACACCACCCAACACTTGCCTTTACCTCTTCAAATCCTGATCCATGCCACTTTCCTTTCCAGTCCTGTCTTGTGAAGAATACCTGTTTTCCCCCATGTAATTTGTAAGTCTCCCTCCCTCATTGCTTTGGGAGTTCAGGTGCTGGTGTATGTCTAGGTCTGAGTAGGGCAGGGTGAATTGTATCCTGCGTAGTCCTGCATGTGCCTAAGGGTGGGTTAACATCTGGTATTAGCAGCACAGAGAGTGTAGTGCTGCAGGTGTGTGTGGAATGGAAGGATGCTGTAGCAGAGGGGTTGGTAAATTGGGGCCAATATCTTAGCGGACATATGCACCTGCACCAGAGGTGCTTTACTTGGAAATAATTTTGCAACATAAGAGGCATGATCCATGCACTATTTTGTCCCTTACCCCAAGCTAGGGTAAGCTTACTGACTTTGTTATAGCCCTGATTTCTACCCACTTTCTGAAGTAACAAAAATCCATCTGTGATGCTTGATGTTGATTTTAGTCTGTATGGCCAAGGGACTTGCGCTCATGAATGAATCTGTCTGAGCTGCTGCTTAAGAAAGTCCTGTGCGTGATACTGAGTGATGTTGGACCTGGTCATCTACAAGGTGGAAATCAGAGAAACTGCAAAATTTGTTATCATCAAGAAAGCCATTCCAAGGCTGTCTTTCGCCATAGATCAAGTAACTCTGGGATTACCTGTGATATTGGTGATGCCCATACCAAACTACCATAGCTAACTGACAATGTATAGATAGCCAGTAAGAATGAGAGGAATAAAAGGCAACTGATTAAGGTGTATATTGACTTTGGAGACCACTGTTCATTTTAAGAAGCACTGAAGCTTTCAGAAACTAGTGCAGGTGATGATAATTTTGTCTCCATTTTTCTCCTGAGATCAGGAAAAAGGTGTTTTCTCTTACATTGTGTTTTGATCTAGGGGCAGACCCAATATGATAAATGGATCTGCAATATCTGTAATAATTTTACTACTTGAAATGGTCACGATCCTACCTGGGGTGTAATTTTAATAAAGATGGTATCATATTCTGTTGAACCTGTTTAGAGAAATATAGGTATGGTGGAAATCTGAAAAGAAACAGTAAAAAAAGCACAGATTGATATATTGAAATTAAGTCAGGTTTTGATTATGGAGAAGTAGGACTGGGGAAGAAGTAAAGAAGACATTTTCTAGGAGAATCATTAAATATGCACAGACGTTCCTTTATTTCATCTGGAGTACAAGTTTCATGTCTTTGCATTGTATTTTATTCTTTTAGGTATATGGGGAATGTCTCTTCTAGTTACTGTCTTTTTTTCTTTAAACCTCTAAATCACTAACGGGATTTGCAGTCCACAAGCATTCATTTTTAAATTGTGCTTTTCTCCAGTTTAACGTAATGATTTGGTGCATTTTAATAAGGCTCTTTCGTGATCCTTCCTATAACTTTGCCCCAGACATTAAGGTGCTGTAGGAGAAGAGTACAAGTAGAACTGCTTGCAGGACTGAAGGAGCTAAGGCCAGCTCACAGGCACCCGGGCAGTGCCAGAGACCTTTGCTGTGTGTCCCGGTTTCTCCTAAGGTGCTTCTCTGCTCTAGAGGGGAAGTGTCACATCTGTAGGTCAGAGTGCTGCTGCAGTCACCTGTCTTTTTTTGGTTTCTGCATAGGTACCCACTACGATTCCTGGTTCTCTGGAAGTAGCAAGAGTTTTAATGGTTTAAAAATTAAATGCATTCTGGGCTTAATTGCTGGTTTTGGCCTAATTACTTTTAATTCTCCCTTGGATTTTTTTCACTTCTAAGAGAACAGAGTAGAACTTGGTTCCTAAATTGCCAACTTTCTAGCCCGATTCCTGTGCTAAACTGACCTGCTGTCAACAAATGTTAAATGAATTAATTTGCATAGCAAACAGATGCAAAGTGCTCCTTTTTCCAGGGTACCATCTGTAGTTGCAGCATTTCTTGTCAATTCTCCAAGTACACAGAAATCCGTATTCACAAATAGCCTCAGGGTTCAAAGACCTGGCCGTGGGTGTACGAACACAAACAAACTGCACTCACTTGACTTCCACTAAAAACATGCATTCTTCAGATCAAAATTGCACATTAACAGCTTGTCCAACATCAGCTCCTGAGAAGAGAAGGGACAACCTGGTGGCTAAAGCTGTAACATGAGACTTGAGAAGTACGGACCTAATTGCTGTTCCGCTACTATTCTGACATAATTACAGGCAAGATTAAT